TCGCCCCACCATCGGTCCTCGGGGCTCCCGAATATCTCTCCATTAGCCCCCCTGACGGTGCTATCCCCTCTCTGTGACCCCTCGGATTTCCTATCTTGCTTGCACACCCCTCTCGTCGGCTCTTGTCACGTCGGGTAGCAGCTAGCCAGGCAACACCACCACACGAACAACCAGCAGCAGCAGCAGCAGCAGCAGCGCCAGCAGCAGCACCACGCAGACCCGACGGAGACGCAAGGAACGGGGTTGAAGAATCCTACGCCGGCGGAGAGACCAATCAAGGTTTGACGAACGACGGGGATTGGTCGAGGCGCTCCTCTGACACGCAGAGAGCTCGGGCACGTGACAAGCTACCGCATACACCGGGCCTCCGTTGGATCGTAGCGAGGCCTTCAGTACGATACCAACTACCCTCCGCGCACGCAACAGCAACGGCGAACGCTGAGCCGCGGCAATAAAACACTTCACCCCCTAATGCGGTGATATCGGTACACCGGCACACACCGACTATCCGGCAACGGACAGAAAGAATCATTCGCCACGGTTCCGTCTTCAATCGTCAATGACGATCGCGTTTTGTCTACATTCGTCGCGTACGTTCCACGGTTTTCCGTGACTACTTCTATCGTACAAACGCGTCGTACATACATCGCTTGTTGGTTACGTTTTGGAGATACATCGAAGAAATACCGCCACGTCTCCGCGAATTTCGTGCACGCAGTTACGAAAGACACAGCGGTGAACAAATCATCGTGCGAACAAATCATCGAGGAAGATAGAAATAAAGAAGTGAATGGGGGTCTCGTCTTCAATGGGGCGACCCGATAAGCCGGCTGTTACGCGCTACTGCACGCTGCCTCGACGAGTTCTCTGTAGGTAATTGCGACTCGTGAGGTCGTAAAGAAGCAGAAGACAGTTTTATAGCCCAGGCCCACGTGGCCCTCGTAAACTCGACTCGGCTCAGGTCGGTTTAGACTCTGCCCGCCTGCCGGCACACGACTGCCTCTCCTTCTATTCGTCGCGATCCCCCTCGTTCATTATCGAATCGTTTAGGGACGTGTTTATCCGCGTGTAACGAGCCGCGATAGGTGTAAACACGGCAGACGAACAAGAGAACAGTGAGCTCGTTTTTATTCCTAACCGAGTGATAGCTCCTAACAGTCACCTC